AAATCAAAGCACAGAATGTCTCCGCCATGTTGCTGTCAAATAAAACCGTTGCCATGCCAGCTTGCTTACTGTAAACAAAAGCTCACAATGCTTGCCCCGCCTCCGGGGTCTTCTGATTGGTCTACTGTTTTGGAACTGACTTCACTTCTTGTAAAAGTTTAACGGTCATAAACGTCTGTCTAGCGCATGTTTACATAGAAAAACAATGGAAAAGTAGCACATTGGAATGGAAAAACACGTTCTGTGTGAACAGCCCCTAATACTGTAGCTCTGTTTGTTGGTGAGATGAGGTGAAGCTGCCTACAAAGTAAGTATTTTAGGGTGCCATAGTTGTGCTTCCGATGTTATGGGGCATTCATACATAATGCATTTTTAAAAGTTAAACTTATTTTAACGTCTCCGCCATGTGTCAAATAAAACCGTTGCCATGCCAGCTTGCTTACTGTAAACAAAAGCTCACAATGTTTGCCCCGCCTCCGGGGTCTTCTGATTGGTCCACTGTTTTGGAACTGACTTCACTTCTTGTAAAAGTTTAACGGTCATAAACGTCTGCCTAGCGCATGTTTACATAGAAAAACAATGGAAAAGTAGCACATTGGAATGGAAAAACACGTTCTGTGTGAACAGCCCCTAATACTGTAGCTCTGTTTGTTGGTGAGATGAGGTGAAGCTGCCTACAAAGTAAGTATTTTAGGGTGCCATAGTTGTGCTTCCGATGTTATGGGGCATTCATACATAATGCATTTTTAAAAGTTAAACTTATTTTAACGTGAGCGTTGGATTTTAATGCTGTGACAAATGTGAGACGTGAAAGAAAAGAGATGCTAATGCAATGTTCAAACACATGTGTCTAGCGGTGTTTCCAAGTCCGCAGTTTTCCTACGTAATTGGGCTGTTTTTATACTGCTTCCACATTTTTTTTTTTTAGCTGTGTGTTGAAGTGAAGCCTCCCGTTAATTTGGAGCAATTATGATCGTCATTTACCCCAGAATGCAATTGGGTGGGGTTATTATATAGACCTGGCAACCCTGCTGCCTAGCGCACATTTACATAAAACAATGGAAAAGTAGTGCAGTAGAATACAAAAAAACACCTTAATTATGATGCCTCCTAAGTAGCCGTTCACACACGACGTGTTTGTGCATAAACTGCTTATGACAAAATGGTGGGAAAATACCAAAAAGGGCAGCTGAAACCTATATTTCATTCTGTCCCAAAGTGTCAATAAAAATAAATATGACTGTAATAACAGTTTAGTGTACTTATTTAAAGTATTATTTAATATATACACCTGCACTGTTGTCTTGGCAACATGCTAATGGAAAATTTATTTGAAATTGGTTTAAAATCTGTGTGAAATGTAGAGGAAAGTCAGCTGAATTTTGCTGAGTTGGATTTAAATGAATTATGATGAACTATGTCTGAAGAGCAGTTTTGTCATTAGCATTTGTGAGAACTTCTAGTCCTTGAAGAACTTAGATTACCTTTGTTTTTTATTTGTTGAACTTTGTTCCTCTCAGAGAATCAGTTTAGTGTGTTTCTGATGCAATGGCTGAAATAAAATGTCAGAAATCAGTTGTTGTGTATGTGAAAGGTTAGCAGCAGTGGTCAGGCCGAGGGAACTGCTGCATTGTCCCCTGTGGCCTCGTCATTACCATCTCGTCATTGTTTTCCCTCCTCTGACAATTACCTCCATCCAGCGAGTGAACGAGCGAAAGAATGAGCTGGATAATGAATGGCAGCCGTCCAGACAAATGACAAGCTATTAATACAGTCCTAGCTGCTTTATTTACTCACAATTACCGGGAGTTTTTTTTTCCAGCTCGGTGATCATGCTTTGGTAAGGTGATAATTCCTCCCCACTAGAGGCATTAGACGAGCATACCTGCCTGTGTGTGAGTGTGTGTTTGTGTGTGAACGTGTGTGTGTGTGCGTGTGTGTGTGTGTGTGTGTGTGTGAGTGTGAGTGAGCGTGTGTGTGTGAGTGAGTGAGTGTGTGAGTGTGTGTGTGTGAGTGTGAGTGTGTGTGTGCGAGTGAGCGTGTGTGTGCGAGTGAGTGAGTGTGCGAGTGTGTGTGTGTGAGTGTGTGTGTGTGAGTGTGAGTGTGTGTGTGCGAGTGAGCGTGTGTGTGCGAGTGAGTGAGTGTGCGAGTGTGTGTGTGTGAGTGTGTGTGTGTGAGTGTGAGTGTGTGTGTGCGAGTGAGCGTGTGTGTGTGTGAGTGAGTGAGTGTGTGTGTGAGTGAGTGTGTGTGTGCGAGTGAGCGTGTGTGTGTGTGAGTGAGTGAGTGTGTGTGTGAGTGTGTGTGTGTTTGGCCTGACCTGTCCACTACATTCATACAGACTTTATGAATGTGTTGTTCTGTATTTACACTGAGCACAGTGTGGCACATGAGCGCATTATAAGGATATTTAAAAGAACAGTTTGATCAAATGAACAGGTGAACCTCATTCATAACCTCACAGCTGAGCTCTATAAACAAGTGCCCTTCAGATCTCTCTTGCATTTATTTTATTGCTTTTTAATGCGTTACCAAACAGCTCACTGGCGTACTTGATTCTGATTGGTCAGTCAGATTAAAACGTTCAAACATCTATAAAGTCAGCATTTATTTATTTTTACACACATAATACATGTAAAACTTGTCCATGTATTTGTTTATTTGGTTAGTAGCCATCTAAATTGTTGAAGTTTATTTTATGCTAATCAGGCTTAACATTATGCGGTTGGCATCTGATCATGCAATATGATTATAGATACTGAATGCATTTACATGCACAACAAAATGCTGACAAGTATCAAAAATCAACTAATTTTCATAATTTAAAAAGCCAGACAAAGCAAAAAAAGCTATTTGCATAATTTTTGGAATATATATATATATATATATATATATGTACATAAACAAGCCGTGATGCAATGTGACACAACAAATTACAACATTCCTGTTATAATGTGTTCACATTAATTCTCAATGTGAATTGAAGATTTATAGTGATTTGTTGGTGATGCGACAGAGCTGAACAGGGGTTTTCTTTAAACAACCTATCTAAAATAGCAGTACAGTTAACTTCTGACCCTAGAGGTCAGTCATAATTTGGTTTGAAAGGTCGCCTATTAAAGGGCTTCCCCGGCCGTCCAGTGGGGTTTGGAGAAGACAGACATCTCCTCTCATGCTGATAGGGCATTACCTCACGTTTAAAGATCGACCCCCCCACACACACACACACTCATGCTGGTAACAGGTGGACGCTGGGAAATGGATTTACTTAACGGAGTGGAAGTGGCAGCTGCGTGCACTCACTGAGGGCTGTTATTTAAAGGCTCAGGGTTACATTATTGGCTGCTTATTAGCGCTTTTGTGTTTCGGCTCATTTTAGGGATGGTTTTTATGTGTGTTTGGCCGTTATGGCTGTTTGTGAGGTGTGTATGTTGTATCAGAAAGCTCATGAGGGGATGACCGAGCCTGTTGGAGCTGAAGCTCCTGTTGTGTCTCTTACTTTGCTCCTCAGGAATCCCTCTCTCTCAGCTGTGTCTCGGGTGTCCTGTGACATCCACATTTAGACATCGTCACCCCTCCTCCATCAGAGCTTGCTTCCAGCCTTCCTGCTCTGCCTCTTTTCCACCTTTCCGTTTCCCCCGTCGTGTCTCTATCCGTCCATCTCCTCTCTGTTTTGTCTTTTCTAACTTCTCATCCTTTTCTCTTCTCTTCTCTTGTCTCCTCTGATCTCTTCTTGTCTCTTCTCTCATTCTTTCTCACTTTACATTATCTCATGTCATCTCTTCTCACATCGTCTCATCTCCCTTTTCTTCTCATTTGGCCTCATTTCATTTGTCTCGTCTCTTCTGTTTGTCTCCTTGTCTCATCTTTTCTTCTCGTTTAGTCTCAATGCTCATTCTCTTGTCTCTTCTCATCTCTTCTTTTCTCAACCTTCATGATCGTTCATGTTTCTTAGCTTTTATAAGGGTTTCTCTTGTTTTCACCTCATCTTTTTGTGTTTCATTACCCTTTTTTTCTCATTTCATCTCATCTTTCTCTTTTCTCATCTGTTATGTTCTCTCAACTTTAATTTCTCTTCTCATTTTGTCTCATCTCTTGTCTTGGCTTCCATCTCTGTGTTCAATCACACCTCCTCTCCTCCATCCTCGCTCCTTTCCTCTCTCAACCTCTCCATCCGTGTCTCTCTCATCAGGAACTCCTACGTGTCCTGTTGTTCATCACTCCTGCTCCTCTTTCATACTTGATTCTGCCGCTCAGCACAAACAAACACACACACACACACACTCGTTCACATCCAGCAGCTTTGCCCCGTAACACCCACATCACTGGCACACACACACACACACACACACACACACACACACACACTCCCAT